CCACTACCACTACCACTACCACTCCACTACCACTACCACTACCACTACTACTACCACCACTACTACTACTACTACTACTACCACTACCACTACCACTACCACCACTACTACTACTACTACTACTACTACTACCAGTAGTAGTCGTGGTGGTGGATGGTGGTGGTGGTAGTGGTAGTGGCAGTGGTAGTTCTAGTAGAGGCGCTTGCGGTGCCGATGGTGCTGGTTGTGGTGGTGGATGCAGTAGCAGTAGCAGTAGCACCAGAAGTAGCAGTAGTGGTGGAGGAGTAGTATCAGTAGTGGCTGTGCACCATACAATCTGCTGCTTCCCAGCTTTTCATTTGCCAATCTTCCGCGCAACCATTGGCAACTGTACCAGGGGACAACATTGACAGCGTACCATATTGTTATTGCTACTCCCACTCATCCTGTGTTTGCCACACTCATCCCGTGTTTGCCACACGGCCCTCGTCAAGGCTTGGTGCCAACAAGAATGGCCAGATCATTTCAGCATCCTGGCAAAGTGATGGAGCTGTTTAGAGGATCTGTGCGCATGGTGGAAGATTCTTCGCTTGTGGCTTCCATTTGATCTTGCATGATCTTGCAATGGAATGTGTCCCAATTTCTTGTTGAACCGCGTGGTTTGTCGGTGTGCCGACAGCGTAGGGCTGTGGGAAGGCCCACTTCGCAGTAAGAACTCCTCACAAGCTGTTTGTCTTCACCGCATGAACATGACTTCTGCTTGGTGGATTTCAATTCTGGCTGCGCTGCGACTGTTGCCGCTGAACTCTGTCCTGTCCTTTTTCTGATTTTCGGAACACTTCACTAAGGTCTCTGCCCGGTGCCTCAGTTTCTCATGCTCTTGGCAAGCTTGCCGGGAGGAAGTGATATGGACACAAGAATGACATAAGTGTTCTTGAGGTTAACTTACTGGTTTTGCCAGGGTTTTGGGTTTCCCGTCTAAAATCTAACTGGGTAGCTGAGGCAGAGTGTTGTCTGAAGCTGAAGCGCTTCAGCAGTTGTTCCCTTTTGGTGTGCTTCACCTCGTCTCGCCAGGGAACCTGTGTAGCTGCCTGCGTGAGCATCCTACACTGAGGCCGGTGCAGATAGCTCGGTAGCAGCCGCCCTCAACTCCAACATCTGGCAGCTTCACGGTTGCACTTCACAAGTTCTGTGGGCCAGTCTCGCACAGCTGGCGGTACTTTTGACAGATGATGATCACGGCCAGCTGCAGGTGGGGAGAGATCTCTGACGGCTTTCAGGAGCACTTGATTGGTCAGCGTTGTATGCGTGTAAGATACACGCACAGACAGCTGCCAACAAAGCTCAATGGAACGCTTTTCCCATAGGCTGAGTCAATCAGGACCAGCTGGCTAACACCGACAAATCGGACAAGTCTAAGAAGAGCAGCATTGCTGTTGTCAAAAACAGGCAGGTCCCCAATGGTTCTGGTTTCGTCCAACCTTTTTCTGGGATTGCCTGAACGCAGGCCCTTCCGCGTTTTTGAGGAGAAGGAGTTCCGCTCGCAGATGCGGGCAGGCAAAGGTGTCCATGAGCAAAGACGCGTGATACTGTAAACATTTGCACGTGTTGTTCACTTATTATCCAGCAGCGTTCTAACATGTCAACATATGTCAACAGCAGGTGTAATCATTGGATACTTTCCCCACTCAGTGACAGTTGAACAATATTTATCATGCACAAATATGAGGCGCTTGATATTATGCCTGTTATAGAGAGCCACGCGGGCGATACCCAATGTAATCATCCCTTGGAGCAGGCCACTCTGAGAATCAACAAGAATTTGAAACCCCCAAAATACAAGCCTATTAAACCCTATATAATCTTATAGAACCCTATATATACGTATACATATAGTTACAGCCCCATAGAACCCTATAGAGCCTATGAACCATCAGGATTTCTTTTTTGGAAGGATCAACTGATGGGGTATTGTACATGCAGTAGTTGATCCCAGATGTCAGCTCTGTTTGTTTGCATATGCCAGGCATGTGCTTTTTCTTCAAGTTTCGGCAAAGTGACCGTCCTGCACGATCCTGGCAGGAAGAGTTTCGATCTCGTCCACAGGGTGCAAGGTCCTCCACCAGGATGCAGATGTAGCCAGCAATGGTGTCTCACGACTGGGGTGCTCGTTTGTGTTTCAAGGAGTTTGTGCATGATGTGCTGGGAATTGGCAGGGTCGCACTTGTACGTGAAATGCAAGGGAATTCAAGGAGGGTTGATGGAGTAAATCATGACCAGACATGGTCCATACAGGTTTTCCCTACTGTGCCGGCCTTGTACTGAAACTCCGTTGCCTTTGAGTCTCAGACAAAGATCTCCAGTCATGTTTACAAAAACTAGGGATCGGGGTCGCAGGCAATCTGAGAGTTTGGGCACTAGTTTTGTGCTCGGCTGCTCCAACCTGGTTCTGCCAATTCTTGCACAGGACACATACACCGACAAAGTTCGAGTGGAGACGCTGGTGCAAGGCATTGTGTCCATGCAGGAAAGCATCAACAAGGATGGCGTGCTGCCTCTTCTTGTGCTTTACAAGCCGCAGCTGGGTATGTGCCGGCATTTGATCCCTTACACCCTTCCAGAGTTGCATGATCCTTACTCAGCGACCTACTAGCGAAAATGGTTTTGGCACATACCCTCATGAGCAGCTCGCACTATAGATTCCTTTAAGCTGTCGGGTGTTGTGTCTACTAGGAGCGGCTAGAGATCGCTGCTTTGGATGCCCAGCAAGACAAGCAGAAGGCACGGGCCTTGCCTGAGAAATCAGGGTTGGCAAGAAGATGCTAGTACTCGAAGGCTTTGAAGAATCTGTTTCTTGTGAAACAGATACCTTTGTACATAACCTATTCTCAATCGCTTTTTTCTGGCCCGCCGGCTGCATGTTTGTGGCACCTCAGGATGGGGAGGCACATGCCGGGGGCGAAGGCGAGGATGAGCTGGACACCCTTCAGGCGCGGACACCCTTCAGGTGCAGAAGGGTTGGAAGAAGTAGAGACTGCTTTCGCAGTTATTGTAAGATTGCCATCCTTGGAAGTAACGTCATGGTACTAAAAAGCAGAATGATGTTGGCAGTGACTCCGCAGGGGGCTGTGTTTTGTTTTTGTGACGGTGGCCCCTTGCGTGCAGGACACGATTGGCGAGCTTGAGCATGACATCATGGTGCACGAGCGGGTACGCTGCATCATTGTCCGAAGGGTGCTCCGATTGCAAAGTCTGCGAGCTTTCTGACTGCCAGGAGATTGGCGCGCTTACCAAGAGCTTGGAGAGCTGCGACCTCCGCCAGGTCAGCCAACAAGGGCTCGAATGCAGTAACTGTGTCATCCTTACACATTAGGTCCTTCCTTTGTGCGTACTGTAGCATGTATGATAACTAAACGTCACATCTGAACTTTTTTGGGCTTGGATGAAGAAGGCCCACAATCGCAAGCAGCTCCAGCAGCTGCAGCAGCCGCTTGGCTGAATCACTTTCAATCCCTTTCAATCTGCCCTCCGCTCCAGAGCGAAGTTTCATCAACGTCTTGCTGGTTAGAAGCAGAACAGATGGGTTTATCTGAGAAAGCATCCAAATCGAGGTTCCTTTTTGCCACCAACATGCTGCTAGTAACTGCTAGTATCCAGTATCCATCTTATCTATTCCTCCGCCTGCACAAGCTTAGGCAGGGCACCTCCTTGCACGACAGGCAGGATCAGGCAGGGGCGAGCGCAAGAGAGTCAACATGTGTTCATGGGGAACATATTCGCATTTTAGTCAGGATTCCTCCTGTGATTTGAGGAATTTGCACGATGAGGAGGTTGTTGCACTTGCCGCTACGTTATGTTGCAGATCCATCTTTTCTCCAGAAGCAGATGTATTGGGGAACTCTGTGTGAAGTCCTTTGCCAGGTTTCCCTCCAGATCTCTATGGCTCCAAAAGCTGGCGCCGAGAGGAGGTGCCGTCTTGGGTGTTGATCTAAGAAAAGCCCAGGAAGGGTCTTTTGGTAGCAGAACATGTAGGCTCTGAGCTGAGGACATGAAGGGGAGTTTAGATGTCTTGTTGTTCAGGCATGCTGAGGCCAACCTGGTGGTTTCTGAGCCTTATGGCTGGTGTATCATTCTTCACAGCACGAGTCAAAGTACTGGGTTGAGGCTTGCAAATTGTCGCACCTGCAACCCGTTCCAAACACTGCAAACCCTAAGCCCGCGATAAATAAGAACCCAAGTCCGGGGACCCCATTTTGGAAATCGTTGGAAATTGCCAAATGGCATTCCTGTGAAGGAAGCTGGAAGAGCAGCTAGCCGAGGACCGCTGTAGCTTCGTTTTTTCGTAGTTGGCTATCTGCAGTCTTGCAGCTTTGGGCTGCCTTATGAGGGCATGCACTTAAAGTTGGCCGTCTATATGCCTTCCCATGGTGCAGCGCTGTGTCGGTGCAGCAAGGGGGGATTGTATGGGAGAATCTTCAATACATTCGATGAGAGAGAGAGATGTGCAGGGCCGGTTTGGGTCCGTGATTTACTGCGTTTATGCAAAAGGGTTGCGGGTGGAAGCACATACTGGATTGCGGTCAGGTTGAAGAGTTCGTGCAGGCGAACAAGAACACACGCATCCTGGCAGCACCGATGCCGGTGTGGGGGATGCTCGGGGTTTGGATTTTGAAGGCCTGGACTCAGACTCAAATTGCGATTGTGATATTATGATGGTTATATTGCTTCGTCATATTGCATTGTGCTAGTTTTGGCGCAGTGGCGGTGGGCCTCATGCTGCCACCTGCTTTTGGTACAAGTATAATGCTGGTAGTTCTGGTGGTACCAGAAGCAGGAAGTATAAGATGTACTAGTTACTAGTAATCATCCTCGTCAACATTATCAGCACGTCGCACTTGTCCTCAGTTTTGGAAGTGAGCAGTGCTGGTTGCTAAAATGAGCACAGCGACGCAGAGTTTCCCATAGAACCTCGAGCTCCCACAATTCAGACGGAGTACGCCCATAATCTCCTTCGCCTAGTTTTGGGAACCCCCAACTGTTCCCAAGCATGCGCTGGACAGGCATGACGCTCCTGGACCAGAGGGCCGAGACTGACAAGGATGTTGTTGTTTGCTGGGGTGGTACCATGTTGGGATTTCTATCATCGGGAATGGGCTTCAAACCGCATGATTGCACATATTTGGTGCAGGAGAAGCAAAGCATTGCTGCCCAGCTGGCTGACTTGCGCAGGCCGTGGGCTCAGCCCGGGATATGTGTCACACTCAAAGGAAGAAGAAGCAACGAAGCTGCATTGCACACAGCATAGGCACTTGTAACCACCACACCCAAACCATGCCATAAACCCTTAGCACTCTGCTTGGCTAAATTTCAGGCAGAAAGACCGCGCACAGCGAAGGCTGGAAATAGCAGAGCGCCCGGTTTGTGAGATTTCCTTTGCACGTTGCAATTATTTGGATGAGTTTGATATGGGCTGCCTGCAGTGTTCTCTAAGTGGTACTTTCTTCAGGTAGGGGCAGGGCAGCATCAGGCTGCTTAACTTACATGGGTCTTGTAACAGACGTGCGTGGAAATCTGAAGAAACAATGAATCTCCGAAGTTGTGCTTCAAGCCAGGTAGAGGCAAGCAGCATCTTCTTTGGCAGTTGAGGTACCAGGCCCCTACCATGTAAAAGGGGGCACACGGGTGGTGGCAGTCAGATTGTTTCTGATCTCGGCAGATATCAAGGGCTCCCAATGTGGGGTAGTAGTTCTTCCAGAGAGCCTGTTCTGCTGAGAACTATTCTTGTCAACTGGTCATGTTCATGTGGCACCCAGGTTCGCGACCTGAGCAAGTCAACACAGGCCTTCAGTTTGCATAGTTGTGCTCGAATTTTGGGGGACGAAGGGGACAAGGAACCCTTAGGATTCCTAAACCCCAAACCCTAAACCCTAAACCCTAAATAGACGTTTGCCGCCGTGCTTGCTTGTGCGATGCGCGTGTCTAAATAGTAGTTTCAATTTTCTTTTCTATTATCCCCATGTAGCACCTATATTCTACTTACTCTATTCTTCTTGTAAGCAGAGCAGCTTGATAAGATGCCACGTCACCAAGCAGCATCGCTGTCTATAGTCTTTACCTTGAAACCTCGAGCGACCACGCAGGACTTTGACCTTTGAAGCTTTCACCTAACCACTACTCGGGAACAAGAGTCAGACCGCTCAAAGAACATCTGCTTCACAGGAGACTTTTAGATGTAGCTGGCTCTGAGCCACACGCATCTCGGTCCTAAGTGATTTCGCGGGAATGTATGGAGACCGTCGTCCAGAATGAATCAAATTGCCCGGAGGCGACAACCTCTGGAGCATCGGATCTCTTGATCAAGGCCTTGCATCAGGATTATGACCGTGATTACTGTCGGCATGAACATGATTCGGAGTTTAGTATGTAATTATGGTGTGCAGCTTTACCCCCACTCTTCTGAGTGCTTTCAATATGTTTGAAGAGCCAAACAAGAGGACGGCTGTTTGAAGCAGCTGAGCCACTACTTCCAGCACAGCAATCAGGGTAGTGCCAGCCTTCAAAATGCCAAGAAGGCAGGCGCCTGAGTGCTAACGAGTAGCGCTTTAATATCTTCTGAGCTGGAACGCCGGTAGGGGTTGATTGGCCAGCCGGTGCGTTTAGCGTGCATGCCATTTTCCCAGGAATCTCCAAAGCAACAAAGGCCATCAACGCTGGACGTTAGAAATTGCTGCTCGCGTTCCAGGGCCCGCAGCACTGAATTCATCAATTCTTGATTCCAAAGCTTATCGTGGTGCTGGCCAATGTCTAGCAGATTCAACTGCCATGGGCGCTAACAGGTCTTGCACCAGCAGACTACGGAGATCGAAGAGTGCCCCCGTAAAATGTCTGCCCCGACCATTTTCCTGACCGAGAGGGACGTATGTATGTTTGTGTGTATAGATGTAAGTATAAAACAGCTGAAAGACGCCTTGCCAGAGTGTGCTGCATGAGTCTTCTCTCAATAACTATCAACACGCTCTCGGGGAGGTACTTCGAGACTCGGCGGGACACCTCCAAGGAGGACGGCCGCGGAGCATGGATCATGTATTTGTAGTTGCACAGTTTCCGTTGTTCAATTGCTGCCATTTTCTCGTCTTGCCGCAGAGATGCACAATCGTCCTATCGTGGAGGGAGGGGAAGGCTGTGTGAGCAAGTCTCAAAATGAGGTCCTTGCGCACCTGCGGATTGTAAGCTAGGATGCTCACGCAGACAGCGATTATGGGATTTGGCGGGGGAAGGACAAAGACTTCTTGGCAGCCATGAAGATCCTGGAGATGGCCGTGACCTCAGGATAAGGTATTCTGGTTAGCCGATTAGCCCAACCTCCAAATTGAGGTGCGTGTAAACTTGTGGCCTTTGCAGGAGCACCTTTGTTGTTAGCTTCCACTCTCCCCTGTCTTTTGTTTTCTTGTGGGAAGGAGGAAGAGGACAAATTTGAGAGTCACGGTGGGTTGACGAGGGATGTGGATCCTGATGGATCATGAGTTTCTTTCCCACACGAACGAAGGGTCTACCGCCTACCCAACTGGTATATTTGCGCGCAAAGGGCTGCAAGGCATGCGTTGCATCGATCACTTGATCAAAAGGCGGGATGTGCTCAGTTGCGTACAGGGTTGCGCACTGGTGCAATCGTTTGATGAGCGTGTTGATGTTGTTGGGTTCAGAGTTTGCTCAGGACAAAGCCTTCCTGGACAGGGTGGAAAACAGGATGAAAGACAAGATCAAGGACCCACTCGTAGCCAACAGTGATTGCAGGGTTTCTTGGCTAATTCTGCAATGCCCGGCCAGGAAGTTTCCGAGGGCCCTGCCCGCAGTGGCGACAGATCACGGAGCGAACGTGCACAGATGGCACATGCCCTAGGTTCCAGGTTCCTGTGGTTTCTTGTTTGTCCAGAAACCTCGATCGTTTTTCTTGGGTGTTTGCTATGATACAGGCTGTGTATGTGGTGTGCGTATGCTTTTTGGCATGGGCTTTCTTGAGAGTAGAAGCCGTCAGCCATCATAGAGGAAACGGCCTTTGTAATTGTAATCTTTGCCGAATTTGCATCAAGTTATCCTAGTGCCCCCCCCCCCCCCCACGGAGATGCTAAGGCTTCGTTCGGCCTGCGCTTGATTACTGCGCTTATTATTACGGCCTTTCTCATCCTGGTGTTTTTGGCAATTGCCGGTGATGTGAGTTCTTATCATGAGCACAAATTACTACGACGACGACGACAATCGCGACGACTGCTAAGTCACCCTTCTTTGCTATGTTTTTGAAGAGCTGTTGCTGCAGCTCATGCCCCTCTCAGGTTCTCCAAATGTTGTCCGACCTGGTGAACCTCCGAAAGTCCTGGTGTGAAATCCTGCAGGCTGCAATCTGTGCAGCAAGTGTAAGTAGGTGTACATGGTTTGTATAGGGATTGCAGCTGGTTATGTGATGGAATGTGGAAATGAAAGCAGGCTGCATATAGGGTTGCGTTGTGCACGAGATGTTAAAGGTGAATTTGGACGCCCCAATTGAGTAATGCGGGCTGACACCATGGCCTAGCTGTTTGACCTGGATGAAGCTATGATCAGCATTGAACGAAATTATCATCAGGGTTAATCATAACTACCAAATTTTCTTTGTTTGCGATTCTTGCCCAGAGTTTACCCCTGTGAGGACCACTGGGCCACAGATGGCACGAAGCCAAGCAATGCCCGTGTGTGTTCTGTCCAAGCAGCATTGGAAATGGAATGTCGTTGTTCATCTTGCACATGTCGACTTCAGATGTGGCCGCGCACTAGTCCTTGTACTTCTCAATGGTTACAAGACCTTGGTAATGTAGTAGAATCCGCATGCTAGCTACGTTTAACCAACCGACTGCAAAACCCAAAAAACGCAGCAAGTGATTGTTTAGATGTGTTAAATCCTTGCGAGCCATTAACATCCTGCGAAACATATAACATATGGCTACTTATCAGAACTGGGGCTGCCACGTGCTCCTTGTGAGAAGGATATTTGTTTTGCGCACACCCTAGAATTAGAAGCGAACAAGGGAGAATGGGAAGCCTGATCCCATGGACAAACGAAGTTCTCTATGAAATGAGTGTTGCGCGCCCAAGGAACCCAAAAATTGCTGAGGCCTGGACCTGTCGTGTTTCTTCAAAGGCTCCAAGAAGCCTTCACCATCAGAGATGCCGGCCTCAACCTCAAGACAGCGAATGACATAAGAGTGGTGGTGGACATGGTGGTGGCGGCGGTGAGATGCGGTGAGGGCAACGTGGACTCAAGTCATGGGCTCGATGTATGCCAGTAAGTGGATACGACCTCTTGGTTATGTTAGCTGTTGTGAAATTGTGGGGGGGGGGGTGGATGGGGTGGTCGTTGTGTACAGAGTCCATTTTGTTAGTCTTGAAGTATCAATGACGAGAGCTGATGACTGCTATGGTTGAAAGTCAGGAAAGACAATGTTTTTGGCAGTTCTACTTTGTGATACAGATGCTGTGTCGGTGGTACCTGCGCCATGGATATTGAGTTGTTGACCTTCAGGTGTTGACGGAGGACGACCAGGACTGCATGATGAGAACAGTTCAGTGGTGGGATCTCCGTCGAATTGCTGGAATCCATCCTGTCCAGACCAGTTTCAGTAGGCGTGGCCACATGCAGAAAAGGACAAGGCCAAATGTGAGTCCCTATCAGATAAGGCAGACAGTGGTCTGCACAGAGACATAGCCCGCCCCGTGAATTTCTCAAAGTGGTTCTCAACAGTATCATAGGCAGTTCTGTGAGTGCCTACATGATCCAATTTATAACCCCAACACACTAGTAGTTTCCATTTTCTTTTTCATTATCCCCATATAACCCCAATATTACCCCAATATAACCCCAACATATACCGTATAATGTAACCCAATATTACCCCAGTACATACCCTATAATGTTACCCCAACCTATTATTTGCCAGTAACATTCCCATATGCCTCATCCAGTGTGATCCAGGAGGCTCCTGCCTCGCTGCTGGCCTCGTCGGACTCCAAGTTCTCGCTTTTGGTTGGGACTTGAAAGAGGCGAGTATATTACAACATATTACAGTATATTATAGTCTCGTAAAGTATATTGTAGTAGATTATAATACTATCTCGTACATTAAGGTTAGAAGCCGCAAATATAATCCTTTCATCTGAGCTTTTTACGCACTTCTTCTGATTAAGCTCTTTTGTTATCAAAGGCCACTGCCGAACCTCACGCTGCCTTTCGGCATGTCTCCAGACGCCGCTGCCTCAGGGCACACAGGTGAACTGAACTCCTTGAAGGGGAATATATAGGGGATAAATGGGGATTATATACGTATACATATATATATATATTTATTTATGTATGTGTATATGAATATATATATATATGTATATGTATTCATGTCTATATGTATATGTGTACATATGTATTATATTTATGGAGTTTAGGGTTAAACGTCTATACTCCTTAAAAGAGGATTATATAAGGGAGTATTTTACGGGTTACTAAGGTGGATACTAGGGGTTTAGACTGTAGCTCATGTGGGGTTGTTCCAAAGGAAGGAAGCCAATGAATCTTTAACCCCCTCATGCCCTTGTATATGGGTGGTTGTCAAAATTGTGGTTCCTTTTTGGGTACCCTACATATTAGGTGCCGTATTATAATAGGGATCCAAAAAGGGAGCATAATTCTGACAACCACCCATAGAATTAGTTGCAGTGTGCCTTGGCCCGAAGCTCTAAACCGTCTCAAAAAGAGACCAGTGTATTATCAATATAATAGAGCATATTCGTGCATATTGTAGTATATTTTAGTATTTTATAGTATATTCTAGTATATTGTAGTATTTTATACTCGGTTATAGCACATTTTGGCCGATCATAGTATATTATAGTGTATTTCAATCTATTATAGCATGGGACCAGGATGCCATGGCAGATGGGCGGCGGTAGCACCTCGCTGTGCCCATGCGTGCTGCCCTCGCCTCATTCTGGGTCATGGGTTCCGCGAGACACTTCCTGCAGTGGATAGTAAGAATCCTGCATGACCTGACCCTTAGTACCTTGTTTTAGGAATCATAGTGCTATAGTATAGTAAGGTCATGCAGGTTTTTTAGAATTACGAGTACTTCTCCTAGGCAGAAGATATCCCTCTGCAATAGAGAGCTTTTTCCGGACATGGAGATTAGGTTTCTAAGAAAGCTGTGGCAATGCTTTTGCTGTAGCCCTTTCTGATTCTGCGTTCGGGCTTCGGCAGAGTTTGTTGAGGTTCAAGCTGGGGGCTTGGTCCTGTGCGGAGTGTCACAGACCGCCACTTCAGGTTTCGCTGAAGCTTCTCATGAGCTCGTTTGTAGCCATTAGCAGACAGGGAGATAATTCTCAAACACAGGCAAGCTTGACCCCTTCATGTACGACTGCTCAAAATCATCTCCCCCCTGCTCACAAGAAGCAGGACTAGCAGGTTTGCGGAAGAAGGTGCAGCTCCAAACTTCACTGCAAACCGCCACATGAGTCAGAAGCTGAGTGGCCTTCTGACGCTGACATGACTCAAATGCCCCCACCGGAGTATCTGTCAGAAGTGCATTTACGTGGTTCTGCAAGCTTGTCATTTCAGCTGTAAACTACAAGAGATTCAGTTGCTCCGGTGATTGATCCATCATAGCTTGGATTGCAGGGTGCAAGCTGACAAAACGTCAGGCGCCCCGCACCCCCGGTTCCTCTCTTGCTTCTCCAATGACGTGAAGCAGAAATTCCAGGAGCCAAACGACGTGAGTTGGTGCAGAGGGCTTGAGCGTATGTTTGGCGGCAGCCTCGACTGCAACCACCTTACTCCCTGTGTTGCCTTGGCTCAAGGCTTCGAAATAGGACCGTCCGGTTTCGCAAAGGAGTGAACCTGACAGATTCCCAGAAGTCATCTAAGTTGGTAAGTCTGAGGCATGGGTGCCTAGGATATGAGACTTGCATGGCTTATCCAGAAAGCAATAGGCGGCATTCGCCCGATACAAGGCTTTGCTTTGAGGAATGCAAATCATTGATACGCCAACGCGCGGTCCGCCTAAGCCCTGCAACATTCCAAACAAAAGGAAGAACGGTTTTATTGCGTCGCAGATGGCCCTTGAAACTGGCAGAGGGCTATGTTTGAGTTTCAATTGGGCTTGGCCCCATGAATTCTGAACGCCCAGTGGCCAATTGATAGTCGAAGGCCGAGAAGTTCAGAGGAAGTTAGTGGGTCTGGGGCCAGGGGACTTGGTGGGTAAATACTTTGCCGGTCGAAAGCATTGCACGTGACAACCTCCTATGTGCGGCGAGGTCAGGTTGCTCAAAGTCTGCAGGTCTACGCTTGAAAGCAATCCTGAAGACTCCCACCCTTGGCTAAGAAGCTGCCTAACGACATGACACAACTCCACTGAATCAGCAAGAGCGCGCTTTCTGATCGGTAAGCCAAAACCTCACTTTCGGTGGAGGTGCGGCGGCCCGCATCCTGCAAGGTGGAGGCGCGGTGTGGCATCCCTCCACCCAAGCCCTCCAACAGATTATAGGAGGGAGAATCATGGATCAGACCATCGAAACCTACCCCAAACTCTGAGTCCAAAACCCTAGCCTGTCGCCTTACTTTCTCTTTCCAAAAAAAGACACCGCCCCTTACCCCCCCTAAGTCTCCTTTCGCAAAAGCAGGTGGGGGAGGCCTGGGCCTCCAGCGCCGGGACCTCCTGGCGCTGCTTGGTGGACAGGCGCCTGTGGCTTGGCCGCAAAGAAACCAGGTAAAGCTGTCAGGTTGCAATGTCCTCTCTTCGGGGCTACAGAAAAGAAAACAGGAGGATGAATCACATGTAGATGAGAATTCATACCGGGGTGGGAGATAAAGGCTCAGGGTAGAAAGCGTGTTGAGATTGAAGCAGATTTTCACCTTCTAGGCAGCACATGTTGCCATTATGGAAAAGCTGCTTCTCTGCAATCTGCCTATCCAGGAAGGCTGAGGCTGTTTGGTTTTTGCAAAGCACGTAGTCTAGCGGAACAGGCCTTGGCTGCCGCACTCAGCTGCAAGGTTCTGGTCTGCCCTGGTGCAATCTCCGAAGAGGTCTGCCAGGAAGCAAGCGACTGGCTTCTGCAGCAGTCGGAAGAGCAAGGCACAGGCGCAAGCAGTTCTCTAGATCAGCGCTCCTGCGCGGGCTTCAAAGGGCAACCCTGTATACATCCCCAACTGTCAAACCCTCAGCCCAGGTTTTGCAACAACAAGCGTCCACTTCTGTGTCATGGTATATACTCAAGATGCATCGCTTCGCCGGGTGATTTATTGGACCCTGACTTTCAGAAGACAACCAGTCTTCCAGTCATTCCATACAGTGGTGGCCACTCGAAAAGCCCTATTCCCCAGGCGGTTCTCAGGCGCGGCGCTTTGCAGAGTGGCGCTTGGGCAGCGATCCCGACGCTTCAGCTGAGGTTCATGTTGCTCGAGGGTTCCAGTAAGTGAGAGTCTCCCTTGCATCCTGAAAACTACAACGTCAGGAAAGAAGTGGAGAGCAGAGATATCACAGGTTTCGGTCACGGGGTTCGCAGGGCTTGAAATGCGGAGTTCATGTGTGACGAGTGCAGGGTTTGGGTTTCAGCGTGTTCAAAGTGTTGTAAATTCCAGAAGCTCATGTGCCTTGTGACTCCCTGATATGCGTTGGGTTCTTAACGCTGTGAGCACACAGAACAGGACGTGTGGGCTGGACTGGGCCATTGTAATTAGCATGACCGAGGATGCGCCGGCTTCCGACTACACCAAGCTTGGATACACAAAGACCGACGTGTTTATCCAAGAAGGCCGTGGCCCAAGTTGGCTGCAATTCTTCTTTGTATTTTTCATCTTGTTCCTTTTTTCCTTGGAGTTGACATGCAGCTTGCCACGGTCTGTGTTATGACCTTCGACAGAACCCATCTACAAGTCTGATAGCTTTGTTACAGTCCCTGTGGCAATCCCTGTGCACTCCCTAAGGAAGCATTGCACCAAGGCTTCCGCATGACATCTTCGACGGCAGCCCCCGAGTCATATTTGCAGCGAGCAGATGAGACGACGCGGTGTTTGCGGCAGGCTTTCCCTGAAGGCTTCGGCTCATGAGATTGCAGTAGGGATAAAAGTATTCAGCGAAACGAGCGGAAATAGGACAACGATGACTGTTGAAGTAATATTCAGATAAAGGCCACAACTACTGTTGAGATCAAGCGTCGCTAGTGCTACGGCTGTGATTCTTCGGAGTTTATGTTGGTGATTGTTGCCACCATCTTCCATTCGCAGCCTGCCTCCCTCCAGGCAAGTTCCCCTTGGACGTGACCCTTGCATCTCAGAATCAGAATCGGTTCTTGTGGTTTTGAGTACGCTCATCTAAAAGTGAGCCACATGGGCCTTACTTAGTAAAGAGCTTCTTCCCCGATACTCCAAAAACCGCCTAAGGCCTCAGACCCCTAAACTTAGTCATCGCCATACCTTTGCCTTCTGAACAGCTCTAACTCCAAAAAGCCAGAATCCCAGGATTCGCAAGGAGCTTGATGCCCTGCCCTCCGTTAACTGCAGCTTGGAGCGCTGCCCGACCTCCGGACGGCCCTTCCTGCCCTGCGTGGTCCGGCGGATGGTGCCAGGCGCCAAAGGGTCCAAGACGCAAGTACTCTTAAATTGGAGCTATGGGACATTCAAAGTTGGTACTTAGGTCATACTCGTCAGTAAATTTAGGTGTTCAAGTTTTCGTAAGGCGTGACAGACAGCAGCCACAGCCTTCCTAACATAGGTGGCCGACGCCGCGAAGGCAACGTGCACATGGACAGCATCAGACCTGGAAGCACTTTCTCGGTCAACGTGTGCCTGGGCGTGTTCTGCGAGTCAAGACGACAGGTAACTTTGGAGCCGTTTCAAGAAGATAACTTTAACCACTTGAGACATCACCAGGTATCTGCGGGTCCCAGAGGAAGCTACTGGTGGAGAGCTGCTGCTCCATGCGGTGCAGAAGAGTGCCATCCAGAGATTCTTGAGCTCAGATCAAATCACAGCATGTTTTTGCAATTACATGTTTAGTTAAGTACCTAGAGGTCTGTTTGGGCGACGTGAGTTGAAACATTGCATCGCCACAGACTCCAAGCCATACTGAGTACCAAGTCACCCCATGCATTAGACTTCCTCGCGTCATCCGTATATATACTTACTGGCAGGAATGCTCACTTCTTTGGGACCATTGACTTGCAGAACTTCTATCCGGAGCACACCTTCTACACCCAGGAGCGGGAAGAGTACGGTGTTGCATGCGTTTGCTTGCCTACAGTACGTTGGAAGGAGGTGCTGAAGAACATCCCGCCCATAGTCCAGACCTCAAAGACACGTCTGCAAAACCCCAGGAGGATGCATGCGTGAGCTGAGGTCTACACCCCCCGTGTTGGTGATGTGGTCTTCATTGAATCTTGCTCTGATCATATGGGCTCAGCATAATTAATATGAGAAGAGTCACATCACTTGACGCAACAACCCAAGCAGGGCTGTGGCAGTACCAGGTGCTGTAGTTTTTCTTAGCTCAACGTTGACCAAGCGTATCCAGTTTCAGGTGGACTTCCGCCATTTTGGCCCAGGCTACATGTGAAGCGGGGACAGTGCAAGTCATGAACAAAAACGCAGTTGAGAGCATTTGCAAAAATCAGTTTCCAACACGCCGGATTCTTCATGGCATGTGGCGAAATTTCTTTCAAGGCCTGGTGGGAAGGGGTCTTCACCGTAAGCATGCAAGCAGGTTACTCAACTTGGGCGCTCAGACATCCTGGAACGTTTGCAGAGATGCTGGGTTTATGGAAGCTGTGAAGGGGTGGCTGCTTCTTGCGAGAACTTGAGTCACGGCGACCTCACTTGCAATGCACTTTGCTTGTGATGCACAATGCCAATCCGCAGCTGGCTCCAGTGAGAGAGTTGCAGACTTTCTGTCTTCGGTTGGCTGCTCCAGCCCCAGCCTGGCACTTAGATGTATCAGAGGTTTCGAAGCCCGGCTGTTTTTTGTCCAGGGTCTCCTTACATGAACGTGCATGAACATACCAGGTTGGTGCCCACTCGACGGAATGGCCGCACTTTCGGAGCCCCATGTGCCAGCCTCTCAGCGTATGGTGGACTGATTAGAGTACCTTGGATGGCTTGCGATTTGCTAAGAGCACGTGTTTCTGGCCAAAGGACCCGGAACCCCAAGCACTTGCTGACATCCAGCAGCACCGGAAGTCTCGACAAGGCCCGCACTAGCTCTGCAGTGTCAGATAGCCCCCATCAAAGGTAGAAGAGCTGCATGCAAGACCTTGTTCAATGCTGGGTTGCAATCCCTCTTGCGAGTGATGCAGTCCCAGTGTGGATTGAGTGAGGGTCAAGGTCAATGGGACTTCGACTTTGTTTGCCCAGCCGTTTAGAGAGACCCTGAAGTCTTCATAAGTTGCCCATGACTCCCTGGTCGCTTCCCAGCACATCTCCGAAGTATTAAGACGCGGCATCTGAATCACGAGACCGCAATACTGAAGCCCAAATCGAGGCCCAACACTCTGTAAGCCCAGCCCAGCTTCTAGTTTGAAGGGCTACTAGTAACTAGTAGGTACACGTGGAAAATTCCACGTATAATCTTCCCCAGGCTAGCTTGAAGCTGCTCATGAAGCCCCACTCAGAACTATCCATCCTTCAAGCACCCCTCCCACTCTCAACAGTTTGCGCAACGCTCGGCCTCCTCGCCCGCGAGCTCGATGGCAAGCTCCTGGAAGAGTGGCTCTGTGAAATCAAGGATTTCAGGGTGGCAACTGAGTCAAGATTAGGTATGCCAGAACCCAATATAAGCAGTAGAAATCATGTTTTTGCAAGGCTAGAGGGTTGAAGACGGAGCTTAAGATCATCTACAGCGGAACTTTTGAGCCTTTTTCTCTCTCCGATGTTTTTCTTGGCAACATGCATGCTGTGCTTGGTACGGATGGCAGGAACATCGCTGGGATTGGGAATTTTCAAGACTTGCACAGTAGAGGTTCAGGTGTTCTGAGTTTTAATCAAGAGGTGGGAGTTCAGGCGTAAGGGTTTCAGGGTCTCAGCAAAGCAGGCTTGTAGGGCCAGGTATCAATTGTGAGGCGTCTTCAAGTGTTGTTTGAGAAGCGTGTGGTAGCTAAAGCTACACCGTTTGCACTTGAGAGCAAGCACCCCAAAGAGAACGCACAGCTCGACAGGGATACTGCGCAGATGATAGAATACCAACTCGCACCAAATAAAGTCAAATTTCCATTGACATGCTCAGCTCCTCGAGCGCCCCACACTCAGAACCATAAGAAGTGACCACCACAATCAACCCTGCGCCCTCTCTGAACCCTAAAACCTGAATCCTGAACCAACCCCAAACCACCGACGAGCTTTACGCAGAGGTGGCTTTGGTGGTTCTCGCCCGACTTCGCCCACGTGCCCGAGTTGAGCTTGAGCTTAGGGGTTCAAAGGTTGGGGTTTACGGACCAGGGGTTCAGGTTTACAGATTGGGGAGATCAGGGGTCGTGGGTGTAGGAGATATATGGTAGTTTCCCTAAATAGGGGGCCCCCAATATAGACCCGTTATACAATACTCCTTCATATGATGGAGTTTAGGACTTCATGGCTTTCTGGGTTCAGGATTTGAGCCCAGAGCCCCAGGTCCTTCATCTCGGAGGCTGGTGGCTTCCATCGTCGCCCAGCGACGCCTTCAGGACTTGGAGAGGGTTTAAAAGGTTTGGGGTTTAAGGGTTTAGTGTTCAAGACAATAGTAGCAACATGCAGCGTGGTATGGTGGTAGTGATATTGGTAGTGCTTACTTCATGCATTGATTACTCAGTAAGTTGCTTAATCAATCAATCAACTAATCAATTCATTGGTTAATCAGTTAATTGATGAATTCATTAAGCAACTAAATAACAAATTAACTAACTAGTTAATGAATACTGGTAGGAATTGTTGTAGTAAGAGGAGCGGAATAGCAGCAAGCGTTATATCACTTCTACAGTGTTTCAAACACTAGTAATAACAGTATCATGAAGCCGTGAGTAACTTGCAAAAGGTTGATACGGCACAGCTTGTCACTTCCCACCAATCAAAGGGAAACACCTTTTCCCGAACATTAGCCGTGCGCATACGATGGCACATCTAGCAGAAGAGTCATCTTCGTTGGCTTGGTCGTTATACACCGCAACCTTGCAGCCGCAGCGCCTCTGCAGGAGAGAATACCAAAGGTTCGTACTCACTGATGTGCTGGCGCGAGTACACGGACGACATCAGGAGCGCTTGACGAGCACATGATCTGGTGGTTCTCGCTAAGTAGTAGAGTCGCATTGTGTCGTGTCATCTGGATCATCAGATCTCGGGTCTTGTGAATCTCATCCGGGATGGCACATGATCGAATTTTGCAGCAGGACTTTTCCTCACCGTGGACTTAAGGGAAGCCTTGCGCCTCCTTCCTTCCAGCGTGCGATCATGATGCCGGAAATTCGGAAGTCTGGGGGCCCAATGTACAGCAGCTGCTGAAGCTGTGGGTCGGTCGCTTGACTCAGAAGCCATGTCCGGACTGAGAGCCAAGCAAATTATGGTGGTTGCGCGGACCACGCTAGAAGCGCAAGCATGCATGTCACCCGTGGAGCATTGGCAAGCGAGGACTGCGTCCAGGCCCCTATATGATACGTGCAGTTTCCTTGCCGAGAAAACACCAGGTGAACTGACGTCTCAAAGAGAGGGTATGCAGAGGCTCGATGGCATTCTTACTCCAAAGCTCCCTGGACTTTGTAAGCTTAAGCTGTGATGGCCATGCCACTGTCAACCAATCGGCACATACTGAATCTTGAAAGTACATGGTGGAAACTTTCTCCCAGGCTGCACAGAGAAGCATCCAAATCCTCCAACATCCCACGTAGCCCTACATGCCCTACAGTCCATGTTTAGCCCTTGAAATCGGGATGGGGCAACTGCAGCTCCCGACGTCCAACGGTTGCTCCAAGAGGTGATTGTGTAGTGCCTTCACCAGCCTCTTGTATTTCCACCATGAAATCTCCGGATTGTTTTACAGGCCGGGAGCAACAAGAGGCTGTTTTTCCCAAGGCTCTGGGCATCTTGCCCCAAGAGTAGCGAGATTACTGTGAGCAAGTTTTAGCTACGAGGGTTGGCAACAAATCCTCGTTGGAGTCAACTCCACGGCTCATTTATTCGCGTCAACTGCTACCAGCTGTTTTGTGTCCGCAGCAGAGGTTGCATTCTTGGGTTTTTGGGTGGGTGCAAGGGTGGAGTAGTGGCCACCAAGCTTTCCACAGAAAGGTCAGCTGTCAGGCACTGAGCATCGCCAATTGAAACACCACCGTAACAACTCTGTCTTGCTGCCAGCTACTGTTTGGCAGCTACTGCTACTTTTGCCAAAATTAAGAGGTTTGCCATGTGTTTGATTCCAGCAGCAATGATGCGTTTCTTCTCGATAGAGGTTACCGCATTTTTGCGTTGATGATTTGCACAGTCGGGCGCGGTGACGCTTATTTGCACAGCTTTAGGAGTGATCGGAGGTCGGGTCCGTGGTCTCTCAGGCATTACTCATTACACATTTCCAATGTGCTGTTCTCAGACCTACTTGAAACAGTTTTGATGTTAGGGATGCTTATATTTCGTTGACCTGCTACCTGACATTCGCATCAACAAATGCGCTTGCCAAGCAACATGTGGATGCTTTGCTCCTTTGTGGTGTTACGCAAGTTTACCCAGGGTTGTTAGAAGTGACTTGCAAGAACATCTTGGACCCTGAGCTTGTGTTCAAGCACGTATCAGGCGGCTTTTCGAGGTATACTTGCACGATGGGAGTGGAAGTGCCATACGTCTTATGCAAACGTTTCATGGCTTGCGGGCTTTGGTTTTTCGCAGCTCCTGAAAGGAGCAGTGCGGTGCGTCGGCGGAGATAGAAGTCATAGTTCCAGACACTAGCCTCATGCTTTTTCACATATCGATCATGACAGGCACAGTCATGCTCACTACAAGGCCACAAATATTTATGATCTTAATTGTGATGTTATTGTTGAAGCCATCAATCAGGATACCAGCGGTACCTCTTCCACAAATGAGACTCAGCCTGCCCCGGGCGGTGGATGTTGATCTTTGCTTCGCCGACCATAGCTGCGTCAAGCCGCATTTATGCTTAGACCATGGTGCTGGGTCACATGTTTCCGGTGATTCTGTGTATCTTGGAGCAACTGGAAACTTGTGGCAAGCCTCTCCGGCACCTGTCAGCGATCAGCTTATTCAAAAAATGCGAACGTGGAGGCTCCAGCGTGACACCTCGGACGTGGAGCATGCACTTGGATAGCCTGTCAGCATTTGGTCCACAGTTTTACTTCTGAGATCACAGCTTGTGAGATAGATTGTGGCTGCAGTCGGCACGTGACCAATTGCATTCTTTACTGGCA